TTCTATCTTAAAAAATGTGAACTGGAGAGCGGTGAAAAGATGCAGCAACATTGTCAGGAAAGCTACAAAGATGGTCCGAAGGCTCACTGGCCATTACGAGGAAGCACAACTTCAACCCGTAAAGTTGAACTTAGAGAGAGATTGAACAAAGTTGAGCCTGCGCCACAATCGCACCATAAAGCAAGATATAATAATTTCAGTAGTATTGGAATTTTTCAGATAAGGCTGGTTTGTTTCGCGGAAGTGGCCGATTCACTTCAATGCTTGCAATTTTAGTTAAGGAAATGTCAAAGGTGTCGGTGTTTTTTGTAATGATGTTGTGTCAAAATTTCGCTTCCATGAACTGCATAATGGACTCCAAAGATTAGCATAGAGCCTTGCGAGGACATCTGACCTCTCCCTTGAGCTGATGAAGTCGGCTAGCCTACGTAGTCATACAGAACAGCACAGGTACCCATGTAGGTCACTCAACCAGAAGCAGCATTTCTCTCGAAACCAGATGAACTGAACAGATTATTCTGAAGTTCTAGTCGTATTTTAGTAGAACATCTCAGGGGCATCTTTGTCATAAAGAATTATGCGGATAAACGCCAGTTACGAACTTCAAAAGAGCTGAAAAAGCAACCAGTGAAACACTAAAGTGAATCGATGGTCATCTGCCTTGGAATCTCAATTCCAGTAGGCCACGGAGACTATTCGGTGTTGCCCTTGATAAAGGAGGAACCATAGATTATTATGTCTTTTTTATCTGTCATTGATCTCAGGTAATTGTTCTTTTTCTCAGGGTGACCTTATAATTATGAAACGGTGCAAAACCGAAAAATAATTATAAAAAAGTTCGAAGAAAAGCTGCTTTCTCCAAAATTTTGATATGGGTGTTACTTATACAGTGCGTTTCATAACTATAAGGTCACCCTAACATATTGCATTTCCGGGACCAAGAGCCAATTGGTGATTTTTCCACTCAAATGATTAAATTGAAAATTTGAAAAAAAAAACTGAATGATTCACCAAATGATTCCACACTACGAATAACCCTGTATCGCAATTTTGGTGGGAGCAGCTTTTCTTCGAACTTTTTTGTAATTATTTTTCGATTTTTGCACCGTTTCATAATATAAGGTCACCCTGTGAAAATGAATACTACATTATCGGAAACAACCAACCTGCCTGTGAAATTGAATGTTTGTTACAAACACACCCAGTAGCTAAATTTATGGAATGTTTCGTACTCGCCTTTTGAAGAAAAGGTGAAGTTTGTGCACTTCATGGTGCTTGGCACTGTTCGAGAGTCTTTCCAAAGAACTTCGGACAGTCATTAGCA